TTCTGGGCTTGCGATAATGTGAATAGATTAGTGTAGGGGTAATTTGGTACTATCACAAATATAAACTAAATCTACAACACTTAAAAGAGACGACCATCTTTTTTTCTCTCCCCCCAACCCTAAAAAGATTTCGACGCCGGGAAAAAAACCTTCACCGTCGTTTGCTGTTCTTCAGCTTAGCGCCGTCGAATAGTTCCTCCCAGTCTCTGGTAAGCTTTCTCAGACTAACTGTGCTTTCGCAATTCTCTGTGGTTTCGTTGAACAAGCTCTCAGAGTCCTGCCTTTATTTTTTCTAGTGTAGATCTGAAGGATATGGCTATTTCCAAAGACCTTTATCCTTCTCAGGAAGATCTCGTATACGAAGAGGAAATTATACGGAATCCTTTTAGCTTGAAGCTTTGGTGGAGGTATTTGATTGCTAAAGCCGAGTCTCCTTTCCAGAAGCGATTCATTATCTACGAGAGATCCTTAAAAGCTCTTCCTGGAAGCTATAAGTTGTGGTACGCTTATCTTCGGGAAAAACTTGATATTGTTAGGAATTTGCCTGTTACTCATTCTCAGTATGAATCCCTTAACAACACTTTTGAAAGAGCTCTTGTCACTATGCATAAGATGCCCAGGATTTGGGTTATGTATCTGCAGACCCTTACGGTGCAGAAACTGATTACTCGGACACGGAGGACTTTTGACCGTGCTCTTTGTGCTTTGCCTGTTACCCAACATGATAGGATCTGGGAGCCTTATCTTGTGTTTGTGAGCCAGGAAGGTATTCCTATTGAGACCTCACTTAGGGTTTATCGAAGGTATCTCATGTATGATCCTAGTCACATTGAGGAGTTTATTGAGTTTCTTGTGAAGTCGGCTCGTTGGCAAGAATCTGCAGAGCGATTGGCTTCTGTGCTGAATGATGACAAGTTTTATTCTATTAAAGGGAAGACGAAGCACAAACTGTGGATGGAGTTGTGCGAGCTTCTTGTGCACCATGCCAATGTTATTTCGGGTCTCAATGTCGATGCTATCATCAGGGGAGGCATTAGGAAGTTCACAGACGAAGTGGGAATACTGTGGACTTCTCTTGCGGATTATTACATTAGGAAGAATTTGCTGGAGAAAGCCAGGGATATCTATGAGGAAGGCATGATGAAAGTGGTTACCATGAGAGACTTCAGTGTTATATTTGATGTTTATTCTAGATTTGAGGAAAGTACTGCTGCCAAACGGGTGGAGATGATGAGTTCAAGCGATGAAGAGGGTGAGACCGAAGAGAACGGTGTAGAGGATGATGAGGATGTCCGCCTCAATTTTTCTCTCTCGGTGAAAGAGCTACAGAGGAAGATATTGAATGGGTTTTGGTTGAACGATGATAATGATGTTGATCTCAGATTGGCTCGCTGGGAAGAACTGATGGACAGAAGACTAGCACTATCAAACAGTGTGCTCCTTAGGCAAAATCCGCACAATGTTGAGCAATGGCATCGTAGAGTCAAAATATTTGAGGGAAACGCAGCAAAGCAGATTCTCACTTACACAGAAGCAGTGAGAACTGTGGATCCTATGAAAGCAGTTGGGAAGCCTCACACATTGTGGGTTGCGTTTGCCAAGTTGTATGAGAACCACAAAGACCTTGTCAACACAAGAGTGATTTTTGACAAGGCAGTCCAGGTAAACTATAAAACCGTGGATCATCTCGCCAGCGTTTGGTGTGAGTGGGCTGAGATGGAGTTGAGGCACAAGAATTTCAAAGGAGCATTAGAGCTAATGAGGCGTGCTACAGCTGTACCAACAGTAGAAGTCAGACGGAGAGTCGCTGCTGATGGGAATGAACCAGTCCAGATGAAGCTGCATAAATCCTTGAGGCTTTGGTCCTTTTATGTTGATTTGGAGGAAAGCTTGGGGACTTTAGAATCGACAAGAGCAGTCTATGAGAAGATATTAGATTTGAGAATAGCTACGCCTCAGATCATTCTGAATTATGCTTTCCTTCTTGAGGAAAATAAGTACTTTGAAGATGCTTTCAAGGTGTATGAAAGAGGTGTCAAGATATTCAAGTATCCTCATGTTAAAGACATATGGGTAACGTATCTTACAAAGTTTGTCAAGAGATATGGGAAGACAAAGCTGGAGCGAGCGAGAGAGTTGTTTGAGCATGCTGTTTCAATGGCAAGTTCATCTGTACCCTTTTACCCATACTGGTTATAATGCTGTTTGTGTTCCCAGGCCACATATCTGATGAAACAAGCACCAAATTTAACTGATTTTAAAATGGCCAGTTGCTCAGAGAACTTGTCTATTGATGTGTCCGTGATCTAATTGTGTGTTTATCTTTCTTTCAGGCTCCATCTGATGCTGTCAGGACCTTGTACCTTCAGTATGCTAAGCTAGAAGAGGATTATGGTCTGGCCAAGCGAGCCATGAAAGTTTATGAGGAAGCAACCAAAAAAGTTCCTGAAGGCCAGAAGCTTGAGATGTACGAGATTTACATTTCTCGTGCAGCTGAGATATTTGGTGTTCCTAGAACTAGGGAGATATATGAGCAAGCAATAGAATCTGGGCTACCACACAAGGATGTGAAGATCATGTGCATAAAATTTGCAGAGCTGGAGAGAAGCTTAGGAGAAATTGATCGCGCTCGTACGTTGTACAAGTATGCCTCCCAGTTTGCAGATCCGAGGTCAGACCCTGAATTCTGGAACAAATGGCATGAATTTGAGGTTCAACATGGAAACGAAGACACGTACAGAGAAATGCTTCGAATCAAGCGAAGCGTTTCTGCAAGCTACAGTCAGGTTAGCTATCTTTTGGGTGTTTTTGCACCAGTTTCTATTGCTTTCAGTTCTCAAGAAAGCCACTTTTTTGTCAATTCTGAGAATCAGTTTGTTGTAGTTTTTGACAGTTGGAAGCTGACTGATTGTATTTGATCTATTTGTTTCAGACTCATTTCATTCTACCAGAGAACATGATGCAAAAGGATAAGCTGGTAGATGTGGAAGAGGCAAAAGATGAGCTGAAGAAGGCAGGTTTACCAGAAGATGACATGGCTGCTCTAGAGAGGCAGCTTGTGGCTCCAACGTCTACCGCCACAGATGCAGTGAAAGATGGCGGAAGAAGAGTTGGGTTCGTAATTGCAGGATCACAGTTCAGTGAGAACCAGGTGAAACCATTGACAGGGAATGGAGAAGATATTGATCTTCCTGATGAGAACGATGGTGAGTCTGATGGAGAAGACAGAGTGGAGATAGCTCAGAAAGAAGTTCCTGCTGCTGTGTTTGGAGGACTTGCTAGAAAGAGAGAGGAAGATGGTGAAGAAGCCGAGGAAGGTGGTGAGAATGGTGCAGCCAAGAAGCTAGGTGCTCTAGAGAGGATAAAGAGACAGAAACTTGTTCAGTGAATAGATTCTCTAGACAATAACTCTTGTGCTTCATATAGTTTGGAATTGTAATATTCAGAACAAGAACTTAGTGAGTCATGGCAAATTTTGTATTTTGTTCTCTCAATTCCACCATTTCACTGTACTCTTTCCATTTCCTTGATCTTAATTAGATTTCCATCTTGAATCTGTTTGAGCAGTCTTTATCTATCTGGTGTAAAGGGAATGTTTTGCAGGGTTTTCTTTCTTCTTAAGAAGAAGAAGCTTTATAGATTCAAACACAAACTGATAACACTTACGTAATACAGTTACTATGGAGATTTGACAACCCTGCTTCCTCGAAAAAGAGTATTTGATCTAAACTCATCCCATAAATAACAAGAAAAAGTAAACTCTAAAGTATCATCTCATACATTCTCCTTTGAGCTTGAGGAAACCTCAGTTTTTTCTTCTTCTTTGTTGCTGCTCATTGCTACCGGAGATGAGTCAGCAACAGAATCTTCAGGTTCCGTCTTGAGCTCAGACTCAAACTCTTTTGCAGCCTGCATCATTACCAAACCCCACAAGGCTTCATCATCAATGCAAGTACAAAGCATACAACAAGAAGCTATATATCTCACTCAGATAGCCATGAGCCATAACAATTACCAGAAGTTGTATAGAAAAAAAGTAACTTATATCATTCCAATAATCACATCACCAGATTAACCTGCATAACAACCTGTCTTGCTCTATGAACTTGCTGTTTCATGGTGAACAGTGTACAAGCAAATCAATGTTTGATTCTTAGTCTATACTTTTACAGCAATTCCCAACTCTTTCTGAGGGTTCTTATCAATTCCTCACATATCCAGACAGAACTCTCATAAAGTAACTAAGCAATTCCAACTACAATCAACAAGCTTTTCACATGTATTGGCCCAAGAAACTCAAGAATTGGATCAAATCCGTTTCTATCAATCGAAACAGAAACAAAGTAATTTGAGAAACAAACCTGTTGAAAGCTCTTGACGGTCTTCCCAATACTCTTGCCAATCTCAGGGAGCTTCTTAGGTCCGAAAAGCAACGCAGCGACGCCAGCAATCACAGCGAGCTCGGGAACACCGAGACCAAACAGGGCATTACAAGTGAGTTGCTTTCTCGTCGGCTCCGGTCGGGTTCTGGGTCGAGTCACGACCAAAGAACGGGTATTGGGTCGGGTCGTGACTGCGAAGCAATTAGCGAAGAGGGAAGAGCGAGATGATGAGAGAGGCAGAGAAACTGATGGTGGGGGAGAAGATAGAGCCGCAACAGATGTCGCCATTGCTAGTGTTCTCTATTTTTCGTTCTCTTTTGCTTCTTTCTGGTTCTAAAGCTATCTGAGTTTTTCTTTCATCTATCCAATATCCAGAATTCCAAATTCCCATTTAAAAAATAAAATAAAAACTATAAAGCTACTTTTCTAAGGTTTCAAATACTATAAATTAAAAACAATAAAGCGATTTATTTTGGGATACTTATGTTTTTTTTTTTCTTTCAAGAATTAAGTTTCAAAAATACGCTAAATCTTTCAAAATTAAGAATTTTTGAATTTCAGATTTGGGTTATAAGGTTTAAAATAAAATTATTTTGTTAAATTTTTAATCTAAGTGTAAAATATTAGAATTTTTATAAATAGCCACTACATATTAATAAAAAATATTCTCAAAGTTTCTTTTTTTTTGGTAGAAACCCAAAGTTTCTATTACATAAAGTAACATGTAGATCATTTTTTTTCTTCTCAAAATCATAAAAACTGTTTAGAAATTCAAACCGCGGAACGTAGTTTACATATGAAATATTATGCACACGAACGCTCTATGTTAAATTATTAGTTTTGGATTTTTGGTGTTGCTGCTTCGGAGTGTTGC